TTCGGCAGGCATTACATACACTTCATGCGGTACGACGAATCTTTAACACCCACGAAAGAGTATATTGTGTTTAAATAAGCCCATGGGCTCTCATCACCAGCTGGTGGTTCCCCTGGAGCCGTGTCCGACGTAAAAGTAAAACGTTGTGGTCTCCGTCTCCTCCTCCATGTGGCTGCTGCTGATTACGAGACTTGCTTTGTGTTTAATGGGAGAAGCGAAACAGGTGTATCCTATTGGTGGTGATGAACAAGCCCAGGCAAGAAGGCTACCGACTTAGTTGCAGTCAATCAGTAAGTGGGGTCAAAACACTAGCGTTTCTCTCTCGCGCTTTTTTGTAACGAGTAACTAAACCACACATTGAAAATGTATCGGAGTAAAAGTATGCAATTAAGTTCGGAAATATAGTGAAGTAAAAGTGAAAGTTATCAAAAATTTTCATACTCGAGGAAAGTATGAAGTACTCCAAAATATACTTAAGTAAAGTAGTGAAGTGTTTTTACTTCGTTACTATACAACACTGTGAACAGCACAACAGTTACCCGATGCTCCACAAGGGCATCTTACGACACTTTCCAGTGGAAAGTTGCTCTCTATAACAGGTTAATGTGTGATTTGGTTCGGATCTAGTCCAGTGGGAAGATTCTCCGTATTATGGTCTGGAGCGCAGGAGCTGCGGTTATTTCTCCGTTGATTTGCAGCGATACTCAGCAACGGAAAACCTCGAGGTTCTGGTTGTGATGGACTAAATAATCCCAGATTTGTGATTTTGTTTTATAAATAAATTTCCCTGGCCCAATCATAATGATAAATACTCAGATCATGAACTTTATTATTTTTTAAATTCAAACGAAAAATAAAATTCACATCACACCAAGCCAATATTGTGTAGCCTTTTCTGCAGATTCACATATTATATTTTTAATCATTGAATTTAATTCTTCAATATCATTACTTAAATTTGGCATAATCTCCATAAGTTTGTCACTTGCCGACTTATTATATATTGTCCAATTAACCCCCCTTATTCTCCATTTAGGATGCCAATTTTCTTCAACTACTACCTTAAAATTATGAAATTTAAGCAGAATAGGATAGTGATCACTTCCAAGGGAGTTATCATTAATTACTTCCCATTGACTAATTCCTGCTAATTGATCTGGCACTATAGTAAGATCAATTGCAGATTCTGTTCCATGTCCTACATCAAATCTATTTCCTCTTCTATCATTTAGACAAATTAACTTATAGTCATCCATGAATTCCTCAATTATATTCCCATTTTCATCAATCTTTTTACTTCCCCATAAGGTATTGTGAGCATTAAAATCTCCACATAAAATATTTCTTCCATTCTCCTTCACATAAATACTATCACGTCTTTCTCTACTTAACTTTTTACAAGGATTATAAAAATTTATTATATTAAATTTTGATTTACTGATCCATACCTCAACCCCTATAACTTCTATTTCTTCATTTATATTCAGAACTTTATAATTAATACCATGTTGAACAAATATAGCAATACCTCCTCCTACATTTGGATTTCTATCTTTAAGTAATGCTATGTATCCATTAAGAATAAAATCAAGTGATGGTTTTAACCAGGTTTCTTGAACACAAACTATATGTGGTTTAACATTCTGACTTTCAATAAAATGTTTAAACTCTTGTCTATTAGCAATTAAGCTCCTTGCATTCCACTGCAATATGGATAAAACCATCAAATTTCACCATTACTGGACTGTTGACTTTCATTTATCCCAGTAGTTAAAACTGCACTAACTGACTCAAATGACAAGTCTTCCATCTCAAGGTATTTTTCTGCTGCTTTGATTAGTATTTTAATTCGGTCTGTTCTACTTTCTGTCTGTGCTGAACAATTTATTACTTCCACAATAAATGCAACAAATTTCTTCTTCTCCACTATTATGATCCATGATACTTCCTAAGGTTCTCTTGCTCTGCATTTGCTCTGTTGTTTGAGATGGAGTCTGTGGCACAGACATGCTTTTAGCATTAATATTTTGATTACTTACCTTCTTAACTGCATCTGCATAGGTAATTTTTTCCTTTGTGCATATATTTTGCACCTGCACTGATCTTTTATGAGCTTCACATCCCTTAAATGTTGCACTATGTTCCCCTCCACAATTACAACACTTTAATTTAATTCCTTCAGAACATTTTCCATATTCATGCTCCCCTCCACACTTAGCACACCTGGCCTTAGCTCTGCAAACAGCAGCAATATGTCCAAACCTTCGACATTCTGGTTGGTGGAGGAATGTATTGTCTTACTGCATAGCTGATATAGCCAATCATTACTTTTTCAGGTAATCTATCCTCTTCTAGGACTAACAACTGATTTACTAGGACTTTTAACTCCTTCTCTTGTAATAAACAAGCACTTCACTTTAATCACCCGAGCTCCTTTTACATTACCTTTAATCTTATCCTCCGTCAAATCAGTTGATACTCCAGATATTACTCCCATTGCCTTTCCTCTGTCCTGCCATAATTATGGTTTGATTGTTTTCCCCAATAACGTCTTGCATCTCATTAGTCCATGCACCTGATCTCTATCTCTGCTTAACACCAATTGATTACCATCTCTTAACGTTTTAACTACTTTCACCTCACTTACTATTTTATGTATTGCCTCACTTATTTTTAAAGGATTCAAAGCACATGGATTCTGGAACCCAATAATCACTTTAATTTCATTTCCTTTATTCTCTTCTCTTTTTCTTCATCAGATTCAATTCCTTTCCTCTTCTTATTTCCTCGGTTCACTGTTTGCCAGTCTTCTGTTTTAGCACTACTTTTACAATAATCACTATTCATACTACAATTATCTGAATCATCTAATTCTTCGCATTCATCCATCGCACTTCCTTGTTCAAATTAATCCACAATTTACTCCAAATTACATCTCCATCACTTTAACTTTAACCAACAAATGCCTCAAAGCCCTGCTTGCCCAGCGACTCCCACAAACGCGTCAGCTGCCTCTGTCCCTTCTCTACGACCAGTTTCTCTGCTTTTCTCTTTATTACTGTCAGTTCTTCAGAGAAACGAGCTGCTAGCAGCGCTGCTAATTCACCGTCATTCTGTTACAAATCTTAACGATCGTGTTCCTGTCGCTCCCCGTAATTAAACTCACAATTACGATCTCTGTACTGAGCAGCTCTCTGATAGCAGACAGTGTGTCCGTAAACAAGTTTTACAAATATTGTATTATAACCAAAAAGAGAGCTGTAACTTCTATCATGAATATAGACTAGCATAATAAACTATAAATTACAATGAAATACTGCTACTTCCGGTGGGTGCCGGAAGTAAGACCCATAATCATTTCCCCAGTAAGCCTCCCAGGAATAAGGTAGATAAGGGGGAAAATTTATGACAATTCTAAGGGCCCCTGACCAACAGGGGGCCCTCCACAATTTATTTATTTTTTGTTCCTAGAAATTAAAAAAAATTGGAGCCTTGTCAATTAGAAAATTAATCATATTGTGTTTTCGAAGATTGCTTTGAAATGTTACCCCTCCCAGACCAAAAAACACATATCCATATTTGCCCTGAACACCCCTCCCCCCCCAGATCTGCATGAAATGGTTTGTTCCGCTTGATGGTGACGGTGTTCAGCAGCAGTCAGTAGAAGACAAGAATGACTGTGGCAGCTACTATGCTGCTAAGAAAAATAATAGACAGGTTTTCAAAAAAGAAAAGAAATAGATAGGGAGAGAAAGAAAAAGGTAAGAGTGTCAATTTGTAACCCAGTTTTTCTCCGAGGTGAGTAGAGTGTGTGAGTTTATCAACCATTTAGCATAGTTAGCTTAGCTACAGACTACTGTTTGCCTCCATTTCACTAGCATTTAATGAATTAAGGGAACAAATTACCAAGATATTCATATATTTAACCTGTCCCTTATACCTTTTACCACGCTTAACAGATGAGTCAGTCAGCAGCAGCTCTAACCCACGTCCCTCCTGAACTGTTCTCTCCTTAGTGAAATTGAAGCTGCAGTATGTAACTTTTATTAAAAAAAATATTTTCACATATTTGTTAAAACTGTCATTATGTTGTGACAGTATGGTATGAGAGATAATCTGTGAAAAATCTATTTCCTCTGCTTTCTCCCAGTGCTATCTAGAAACAACCAGTCAGTGGCAGGAGAGTTTTAGTGCTGTCAATTACAATCTCATGTGGCTGCTTATCCTTTCTCCCCCTCGCTCTGTGCTATGCTGCAGCTAGCATAGCCTGTTGTTAATGCTCAGTCTAGTTAGCATAGCTACCAATGACGGCAGATAAACAGTTTCCTGTAACAATATGTTGTTTGTCTACTAGCACATTTAGCAGTGAGTGAATTAAGTTGACTGACAGCACTTAGACCATCCTACTGGTTCTGATTGGTTGTTTGTGGTCAGAACTTTAGTTAGCAATAGTAGTTCAGGGAGGAGGTGGAGGAGACTGATTGTTTTCATGGATTATCTGTCTCATAGCAAACTGTCACGACTTGGTGACAGCTTTAACAAATATGGAGAAACATGTTTTTTATTAAAGTTATATACTGCAGCTTGAATAAAATTGAACTACACAGCATTTTTTGAGAAGTCTGGATTGCTTCATGTATATTTTTCATGTTGCTTTTGACTGTTACTCGTGGGGAGAGATATTTCAGTAATCTAAAACTAATAGAACAAATTTAAGCAACCTACTTGCATACTGTATGCGGACTGTTGGATGTAAAACTCATGAGCAGTAAATATTGTGCTAGTTATCAGTATTGAACCAAAGAAAGAAAGGCCGTTGCAAGCCTTTAAAATTGTTACGCTTTTGATGGGTCAAATAGACTCAAAAAATTGTAACAGCAGCTGCGCAGGGGGGGACCCAATCAAATTTTTTGTCAGGGGGCCCAAGATTCCTGGTGGCGTCACTGCTGTAATTTATATGTACTGTTATACATATTCACAATTACTGATAGTAAACTTACCTAGGCCCAGTCTTTGACTGCTGTGTTGCTCCTGCTGTAGATGCTGTCTGCGTGCTAACTTCTTCATCTGTAAGTAAATAAACATAAACCGGTGTGTGAACTTTGAATTTGAATTTAATTGAATCAGTCTAAATCATAAAGTTTAAAAAAAAAGTATCTAGTGAGCTTTTTTATTAAATTGCTGAATCAGTTTGGTCTATTGCCAACTATAGAAAGAACCACTTAAATATCACAAATGATTGTGAAATGCTTAAAATTCTGAGACTAAGACCGACAAGCAATTTAAGACTCATGCTGATGGACTGGTTGCTGATTGGGTAAAACACCTTGTGGCTGGCCAAACTTTGGCAAGTCTGTTCGCCCAAATACGAGCAAACAGAGCAAATGGCAGATTAGAAATGCTTAATCTACTGGGTTTAACTGATACAGATCTGATTCAGACATTTCAGCACTTTTGGCAAAAGGCAGGAAGGAATAATTTTTAGTGAGAGATGTAGGAAAGTTTGGTCATACAACATGCAAATAAGGATCTAGTATCTGACATAAAGAAATAACAGAATAATTGGGCTTGTATTAATCAACTTTGCATCTTAACATTACTACTACTACAGCCATGAGAACAGCAGTATACATGCATAATGTGGTTCTGGAGGCTGGTTTAGGTACACGTTGCTGACCTTTGCCCTTTGGTTTTGGAACCACACCTGAACCACACGAACACTTAGCCCGGTCTCTGCTGCCAGGGTTTCTCTGACCTGGAAGATCAAACTTATTAGTATTTTTTTGTGCATTTCAATTATACAATGAATTATGTTGTAACCCCCCGAGCTCTCCATAATACAGAAAAGCATATTGAAATCTTTGGGTTAGTTGCTTGTAAGAGCTGTATAAAAGTGAGCTCTTTAAAGCTCCAGTACCAATGTAAGCAAACACAACAAATGCAGAAAAAAATGACTCAATTTCAACTACTTAACCATAAAAGTCTAGAAATTACAAATCAATCAAGCTCAAGTTCCTGCTGTCTTGATATCATACCCATACATTTTCTTAGGGGAGTCCTACCTGTCATTGCATCTGATCTGATTCAAATAGTAAACTCATCCCTCTCATCAGGTGCTGCCCCTCAGGTTTTAAAAACAGCAGCTTTATTCAAGCAGCAGCTTTATTCAAGGTTTTATTCAATTTATACCAGATTGTTCTGATAAAAAAGAACAATCTGGACAAATCACTATTACAGAATTACAGGCCAATCTCCAACCTTCCATTCATCAGCAAAATTGTTGAAAATGCTGTTTCAGCAGTTAAATTGTTTCTTAACGATAACCAACCGCTTTGATATGTTTCAGTCTGGCTTCCAGGCTCACACACTACAGAGAGAGCCCTAGTCATAGAGATCAAAGACATCCATATAAACACAGGCTGTGGAAGAACTGTGGTTTTGCTGGACCTTAGTGTTGACCATGACTAAAACAACTGGAAATCGGGTCGCACTCTCCTGTCCAGTACTCAAGTGGTTTAAATCTTACATAAAGAACAGTTTTAATAGGAAACTTCTTATCGAAGCAGTCCGAAATCACAAGGCTCAATCCAAGGACCTCTTTTTTCAGTATCTTTATGCCCCCTCTAGCTCAGGTTATAACAAGAAATACGATTAGCAACTACGCATAAGATAGACAGCTCTACATTACAGTGTCATCAGGTGACTCAGTCTGAACCCATCCGTGCACTGAACAGATGCTTAGAACATGGATGTGCCATAACTTTCTTCAGTTGAACAGAAACAAAATTGAAGTTATCTTTTTACCTAAAGAGGAACGATCTGGAGTCAACACAAAGCTTCAGTTATTACAGGTGGAAACTAGCAGTCAGACCTGAAATCTGAGTGTAGTGATAGACTCTGACATGAACCTTCAGAGCCACATAAAGACAATTACAAAGTCGGAAATGTCTTATCACCTGAAGAATATTTTCAGAATTAAAGGACTAATGTCTCAGCAAGATCTAGAGTAGCGGTTTTCAACGTGGGCGCTACCGCCCCCCATGGGGTGTTCAGAGAAAGGCAGGGGGCGCTTGCAGAAATTTTTACAAAAGGGGGGCACTGGGATTCCTCTGGGGGGCGTTTGGT